ATTTTACCGTTGCTGCAATGTTGTAGGAGCATTGCAGCAACATTTTGCAACGTTGTTGCAATGTCACAATATTGCAAAATAATGATGCTGCAATGTTGCTGCAACGCTGCTGTGCTGTATGGGTACCTACTGCGCCATTATCACTTTGACTGAGAGACGCTTTGTATCATATACATATGGTATATTCATGTACGAAAACAAATGATTTATTTAAAAGAAGAGAATAGAAATGTTTTAAATGCAAAATGTATGTTTAAAAAGTATATAAAAAGTATATTTAAAAAATATTTGTTTGTTTTAAAAGTAAATAAAATACAAATAAATCATTTTGTAAATTTAAATAAATTGTTTTCTGATAATAAAATAAACTTTAATTTGAAATACAAAAAAGATACTTTTAATATTAGAAAATAATTTATTTAAATTTATAAAATGATTTATTTATGCTTTATTTACTTTTAAAATAAGCAAATATTTATTTAAACATAATTTTTACATAAAAAAATTAATTTTCTTCTTGTAAGGAAGTCATTTTTTTCTAGAAATTTATAATTTTCTCATTTTACAAATTTAAAAAAATATTTATAAAGTTATAATTTATAATATTATTTATAAAATTATTTATAATATTATTTATAATATTCTTAATATTCACATATTTATAAATTTTAAAAATATTACTTTATATTTATTACATATTTTCTAAAATCTAACAAATACTTTTTTAAGTTAAGAAATTATATTTAATAAAATATATTTCTTTGATTTAAAGAATTTTCTTAGTATATATTACCAATTTAAATTTCAATTTTATTATTTTTTCATTATTTTAATAATTATAAATAATTACATTTATTTTTTTCTTGAATAAAGATTTTGATATTTTTTTCTTTATATATAGAAATATTTATAAAATATTTATGTAATATTTTTAAAAAATAATTCGAGCTAAATATTTATGAATCTTTATCATAAATATTGTGTGCTGTCTGAGTAAATTTCCTTTTTTCATAAAGAAATGTTTTTCTTAACGGAAAAATATTGTTATTTTTTAATATTTAATGAATGTCAAACTTCTATTAAATATTAAAAAACGAAACATTTTTTCAAACGTTAAAAAAATTTTTTTTAATAAAAAATAGGAACTTATAATATTTATGATAAATATTTATGATAAATATTTATTTCGAATTATTTCTTAAAAATATTATATAAATATAATATAAATATTTTATATACATAAAGGAAAAAGTATCAAAATCTTTATTGAAAGTATTATTAAAATACAGACATAATATTTTACAAAATATTTATAGTAAACGAAAAATAAATATTTGTAGTAATATTTTGTAAATATATCTATTTACAAATATTATATATGAAAAAATAAATGTAATTATTTAAAATTATTAAATTAATGAAAAAATAAGAAATTTGAATCTCAGCAATGGTAAGCAAATTTTCAAAGTACAATTTAAATTCAATTAAGTGTGAAACAATAAAGTGGAAATTTTAAGAAAAATTCAGGAAAAGAGAAAAATGTATATAAATGTATAAATTTTAATAAATATTTTTATAATATTTATGAAATAAATATTTTTTATCTATTGAATCTAAGGTCACAAAAATATTTTGTTAATATATTTGTAAATATATTTATGAAACATTTTGGTAAATATATATAAAATATTCAAATAAATGTTATAAATGTTTTGTAAATATTTTATAAATATTTTGTTTGGGTTAATGGATAAAAAGGATAGAGAATAGTAGTAATTGATGTAATATGTTCAATAAATGTACAAATATGTGTATTAAATATAATCGAAATATTACAATCCTAACAAAGAAAGACATAACTGCTATATAACATACAGGGTGCATCTAAAAATTTTAAAACATCCCAACAACCTCAATCGAGACAAAGGTATGCAAGTAAACTCTATTTGGCATACTGTCCTCCCGGTTTTTAATTGACCAGCTGATCAATTAAAATACGCTGATTGGCTGGATTCAAGCCTCGTCTCCTACTCCCTAACACCATCTATACAAGGGGGAGAGGGAGGAGAGCATATAAGGACAACCTTTACCCAAGGGTGCGTTCGAAAACATCACCCGTGTGTATTTTGTCACACTCAGATCGTTCAAAAACCCCTAGTAGGCACACTGACCATGCGACCATGGCCGTTCGAAAACCGTACTCCGTGGACCACTCGTGTGACTTTTTCTCCACTCTCTTTTGCGCGGTGTGAATCGGTAGAGATGGTGGAGAGTGCGCAAAGAGTGCAATACAGTATGAAATTACTAAATTATTTATGATTTTTTGTTCTTCGAAACATTCGTACAACCATTAGCCATCACGGTAAGATAAAAAATTTAAATACAGCAGTGTAGGTTAGCCAGGTTTAGGTTTATTTCTATAGTGATGTATATTGTCAGAATATTGTCTTTAAATATAAATAAAGCTTATTAAGCTTTTTGTATTTTATAGGTTCTGAAATTTTCTTATGAGATACGAGGCACGTTAAAAGTCACGAATCAGTAACAATTTGTAAAAAAAAATGGAAAATTTGATATCGGATCGTCATATTTTATGCATGGATATTAAAAAAAATATACAAAAGGATGACAAGGGAAATGTCTATATATACGATGTTAAAGGTAAGGAGTAATAAATAAGTTTATAAATTTCCTTAGGCCTGGTGCCCACGATGCTAGAAATCGATCCGGGTTCTTGGACCGAGGAATATATAATCAATTAACTTTCCAGATAACTAAATTATAAATTAATAATTACTAAATTAATTAATTAATTAATTACTAAATTTATTAATTTATTATTATTTTGCTGAGAAGCAATTATAGCTAATGTCGAAATACGCTTTCGATCA